ATGTAAAAATAAAAGAAGATAGATGCATGCAGGACCACAGCTATGGCATTGGAAGTGGTGCTAAAAACTGTTTATTATTATTTACAAACACGTAAATTATTAGTAATAAAAGTCATACTGTCATGGAGTCTCCTCCAGTACAGAGGAACATGTGGCCAGAATGGTTGGTGAGCTGATTATAGGTTTTACTCTAATTATTAGTGACTTTTTCCCCCTTTGGAGTTCATCACCATGGAAACCTTTGCTTCATGACTAAAAGCCATAATACAGCAGCTTCTTTCTGAAGCAGTGTGTATAAGCAGTGCAGAGAGGACATTATTTGCAGTGACTATCATAATAATTTGTCCCTGCTAACATCCCCGGTAGAGACATTGCAAGATGTAAATCGATTCAAACCTGTTATTCTTCTATATATTTTATATATCTCTATTTGAATATATTTTAAAATGTAATTTATTCCTGTGATGGCAAAGCTGAATTTTCATCAGTCATTAGTCATTAAGTGTCACATGATCCTTCAGAAATCATTCTATAGCTATAATGATAACGAGTTTCATTATAGCTATATAATAGAGTATATTCATTATAGCTATATAAAGATAGCTTTTAAAAAAAATTCTAAATATAAAATATATTATTGGAATCACTTGAAAACATTGACAACCAATGAGAATCCATCCTGCTTTAATGTGCACTAGCATTTAAAGCGGCAGATGACAAAACTGCTGCATGTGCTTATAATAAATACAACAATATTATCCTTGGGTGTGGATGCTAATATAATTATCGTTATAGTTATCTTTTGTGGGCGTGTCATGGTATGAATGGGCCTTATTATGCTGACTTTGTGCTCAAGAAACATTTCTTTTTATCATTGTTTTAAACAGCTGTTTAATATTTTTGTGACTTTTTCGATTAATAGAAGGTTCAAAAGAACAGCAGTTATTTGAATGTGGTCAGTTTTGAAAAACTGACCACATTCAATTGCAATTCAGACTGCAGATTTTAAGAAATGTAGCCACATTTTAGGGAGATGTTTTTATAATGTTATGTTTGTTGTTTTACATCATTGTTTTAGGCCTGCTGGTTGGAACTTTGGACACAGTTTTTGACTCTACAGCCAAAGTTGCCCCGTTTCGCATTTTACACCAGACGCCTGACTCTCAGGTTTACTGGATCATTGCCTGTGGTGAGAGAGATGCTGCACACAGTGTAAATGTGTATGTGAGGGCTCATTCAGATCCTGATATAATGTGTGTGTGTGTGTACAGGAGCATCTTTAGAGGAGATCTCACAGCACTGGGACTGGCTTCAGCAGAACATCATCAGAACTCTCTCTGTGTTTGACTCTGGTGAAGACATCACCAGTTTTGTCCAGGGAAAGATAAGGGTGAGAGGGTTATTTGGCTCCCATATACCTTTGAATGTTTTTTCCCCTGTTTTTCTGTTTTGTGGTATTTTAGATATTAGTCCCAGCATTTGCTCTTGTGTTGACTTTAGTGGTGGTATGTTGTTTGTGTAGGGTCTGATAGCAGAGGAGGGCACATCCGCAGATGACGAGGAAGATCCTGAACGCTTCCGAGAGGCAGTGCTGCGCTTTGAACGTCTGTTTGTTTTGCCTCAGAGAGAGAAGCTTGTGACGTATTTCTCATGCAGCTACTGGAGAGGACGAGTGCCAAACCAGGGCTGGATCTACCTCAGCACCAACTTCCTGTGTTTCTACTCCTATATGCTGGGAAATGAGGGTTAGAAACATGCTGGCCTGCTTACACATAATGCCACAAGCTCTATTACAGTACCATTTTATGGGGGCACGATGTTAAAACATAGCGTGTATTAAAGTGTTTTTTAAATCTGTTGCTGCTAAAGCCCCACATATATTATGGCCCTGTTTACACCTGGTATTAAGATGCATTTTGGTTGATTGAATCACAAGTGGATGACGCTAAATACAGGTTTAAACGGGGGTCTAAAGCGTTTTGGGCTTGTCCACTTTCAACCACTTCCAGAGGTAGTCGAAAACGCATTTGACCAGATTGCTTTCGTAGTGTGGACACTCATGTGGTCGAATGTGTTCGAACAGCCACAAAAGGCCGCCTACTCTCCGCCTACCGACCTAATTATGGGAAGCGCACTAGCCAGACCGGATTTAAACTATCAGCTGAAGACCCAAGTTCGGTTTGAAGACGAAAATCGTACCAAGCATAATGTTCTCTCACCATTCCTGATTTCTAAAGCCCCTTTCACACAGCGCTTTCAACCCAGCAAATTGCCAGAGTGCCTTCTGTGTGAACGCAAACACGACCCGGGACTGATGCCGGGATCGATGCCGGGTTGGGGACCTAGTAACATTGCCGTGTTCAGACCCGGAACGCGCGCTGTGTGAACAAAAGCCGTAACCAATGCCGTGTCGTAATGATGACGCTGAAGTGAAGTGAAAGCAGGCTAGTGAAACAGTACGTATTGCACTAGTTTATGATTGAATCAGAGAAAAAAATGCACAAGCGTGGTTTCTCCAGAGAGAAATCGCAGCTCATAAGCAAACTATACACGTTGCTGAGACATTACATGTCACATCGATGTCACGTGTCTTTCCGGAACATACACGGGTTGTGTGTGAACGCGCTCTATGATTCCAGCAAATCACTGGCAGTGTGATGTGTGAATGAAGCAAAATCAAACGAACCCGGGTCAAATCGTGGGTCGCTTTATCCGTGTATTTTCCGGAATCTCTGTGTGAAAGGGGCTTAACACACACTCACAGAGTTTGCCGTGGTCTTGCCGCTGTCAGAGCAGAAACCAAAGCTGCTGCTCTCCGTATGTTTACCGTCGTCTCCTTTTGCGTTCATATGTAAATTGTGCAAGCTTATTTTGTCCATTAGATTGAAAGATTAAAAAAAAAAAACCATACATTCACCCGCCCATAAAACCTCCCCTTGAATAAATCGGGACAGAAGTGGTTAAAAGTGGACAAAAGAGAAGGATTAAGCACCAGGTGTAAACAGGAATGCGTCTCCCTGGTCTACTTGTGATCCGATCGACCAACACGCATCCTAAAGCTGCCGTCTGCAACATTTTTTTGATCATATTCAGTGAAATCGACACTATAATCCGACAGAACAACATAAATAAAGTGGTTTTAGAAAAAAAACCCGAGCTTCTAACTCCACCTGGAGCGTGTTATTTGTTTTGCAAAAATCCACAGCTCCCGGATCATCATGTCCAATCAGCGCAGGGGGGTGTGAGATCTGACTGTCAATCACAGATCGGGCACACGCCACCCCTCACGCACGTTACAATCACACTATCCGTTGATAGTGGGGGAGGGGCATGAGAGTTGTAAACATTCAAAATTTTGCCTAAGTCCACTCAATCTGCCAGACTTGCCGACTGCAGCTTTAATACCAGGTGTAAACAGGGCCTATGATCCTTTTTCCAGGGAGCCACTTCTAATATAATAGCAACAATGTATTTTCACATATGACCCGTGTATTTATACGTGTGAGAAATATATAAAGCATATGACATCAAGATGTTGTTTCTCAAATAATATGATTGGTTGTTATTTTCAGCATTTTGTGGCCCCCTGAACCCCTGTATTAACATGTAACTAAGTTACATTATCATACCTAAGTTTACAAAGCAATGAGTACTCATTATTTAGCAACTTGGAAATGGCAATTTTTTCCACATGCAAAGAGGTTAACCAATCGTAATTGAGGACATTTACATAGGAAAGTCCTAAAGGGATAGAACCTTATGTCGTTCCAACCCTGTATGACTTTCTTTCTCCTGAGGATTTTACGACAATATATGTCACATATTACTCTATACAGGGTTCGTACAAAGTGCTTAAAGTACTTGAATTTGACTTTTGGAGATTTAAGTCCTGGAAAAACCTTGAAAACAGCCATATTTATGAAAAGGTGCTTGAAAAGTGCTTGAATTATTGAAAGACAATATATGTGAAATTAGTGTTTAATTTTATTGATAAAACAATCTTTTCACTCAAAATTAATGCTCCTGTCCATCTGATATAGATATAGAGGCATTTCGCATGGCTATGAGTGTGATATTGCTCATATAAATATCCAAGTATTTGATACAGCTTTTATTCTTCAGGTCAATCATATATTCATGGGAGAATAAAGTCTGTTTGAATAAGGAAAGCGATATCTTTGTCATAATATCCTTTCAGTGGTTAAAGTTATCAAAATCTTTGCTTGTGCTGCACTTTATTTGTGTCATTTTGTTTTATTGGTTTATTTTTATTAATCTATTTACCTTTTTTTTTAGAATTTAAAGATAATAAAGATATTGTTTGATAAGTGAGATCTCTGATTGTAGTCCTTGAAAACCAAAAAAGTAGTGCTTGAAAAGGCCTTGAAAGTCCTGGAATTTAGTTTTACAGTGTCTGTACGAACCCTGTCTATAAGCACTTCATATATTGTGGTTTCCGCCTTTTACAGTTGGCATCAGTCAAAATCTAATATTATTCATGGTTTGTGCATTTCTTGCATAGTGAAACGGGTGTATCCCTGGGATGAAGTGAGCCGTCTGGAACGTACGTCAAGCGTGATGTTGACAGAGAGTATCCGTGTGCGTGTGCGTGGAGAGGATCATTTCTTTTCGATGCTCCTGAGACTCCAGCAGACGTATCTGATCATGCAGCAGCTGGCTGACTACGCCATTGTGCGGTTCTTCGATAAAGAAACATTTAATGCTGAACATCCACTAGCCAACCCCCTTCACATCACGCAAAGGTGCATTAGTTTTATTCCTCTGAATGTTACCTTTGTTTTTGTTTTTTTACTGAACAATGTCTGACTCTACTGTAATCTTTGCAGGGCTCTGGAAATACATGCACGGAATCAGTCATTCCGAGCTTTTTTCCGGTTGCCACAGGAGGAAAACCTTTGTGAAGTGTACGAGAGTTTCCTCTGGGTTCCATTCAGCCACGTCAATGCGCTTGGAAAAATCTGTGTCTCTGAGAACTATCTGTGCTTTGCAAGCCAGGATGGGTCTCAGTGCCATCTCATAATACCTCTATGGGAGGTGCGTAAATTGCTCATTTTTCTGCAAACTGCTAAGAAATCTGTAATGGTGAAGAAGACGAAGTATGCTTAATTGTGTTGAATGTGCACTAATGTACTTCAAATCTTAAAAGTATATTTTAAAAAAAAAAGCTGTACTTGCAGATAATATAAATTAAATTCAAGGCCACTTAAACTGTACATTACAGTACCCTTAACTTTCATTTATATGTATTATTTTAGTAGATGCTTTTATTCAAATTGACTGACAAATGAGGAATACAACAAGTGATTCATGTGTATTCATGTATTAACACTAAAATACACTTTTATAAAGTGCACTTTGTAGTAATGTCAAATTAAAAGTTTAACTTTGATTTTCTTTTAGAGAAGTACACTTATTTTGATATGTTGACTAACATAACTGAAGCACATGTAAGTACTTGATTATAATTTATGTAGTGTGTTATGATATATTACACTTAAAGTTATACTTTATATGTAATAAATTACAACTTTAACATTACAAATATGTGATTAAATATATTTATATGCATGACATAAGTTTCAATAGAAATGGTGTTCAAGTATATTTTGTGGCTGGGGAGTTTTGAAAAATTCATAATTCCTAGTTTTGTTTTGTAATCAGTGTGTTTGCTTATTTCTGTTTGTTTATTATGGCATTAATGTATGCCTGCAGGTGTTTAGTGTGGAGCTGCCAGACCGCAGTAGCCGTGCCCTGACTGTGTGTCTGCGTGGGAAGAGAGCTTTGCGGTTTTCTGAGGTTCGGGATTTTGAGCGACTTGCTGCCACCATCCGCAGAAAGTGTGTCACAGCAGGAAGCCCCCAGCATTGTATCAGTAATCCGGTAATTCCTCTACACTACAGCCACTAATATAAAGAAATGATGTTTTACCTTACCATATCTCACCGTTATTATATATATTCCATAGCAATTAAAAAAATGTCACAGGCAGTCTCAAATTAAATATATCCCACATTTCATGGCTACTGGATACTTATTGGACACTAAATTGCATGTGTGTGTCTTTCTCTCCGAGGATGAGGAGGGTGTGATGGTGGGGCAAAGTCAAGCCGTCAGCACTGAAGCTCTCATGAACGTCTTTCATCCACACGATGCGGAAAACCTTGACCCCAAAATGGTAACCTTTTTTGGTTACACATTAAATTGATCAACAGTGACAGTAAAGACGTTTTCTATTCATTAGGGAATTCTGAAAAAATATATCATAGATTAACAACACAACTGTTTTTAACATTGATGATAATTGGAAATGTTTCTTGAGCAACAAATCAGCATATTAGAAAGACTTCTGACGGATCATGTGACACTGAAGATTGGAGCAATTATTCAGCTTTGGCATCACAAGAAATCTTTTATTAAAATAGAAAACAGTCTATTTATTGATTAAATAAATGCATCCTTTATGAGCATAAAAGCATTTTTAAAATCCTTATAAATTCTTACAGACCCAAACTTTTGATCCCACTGTTGACAGCTGAAGGAGCGAATGAAGGAGCAGTCGTGGCAGATCCACTTCGCTGAATATGGCCGTGGAACCGGAATGTTTTGCACCAAAAAAACACGTGATCTCATTGTACGAGGAGTTCCAGAGACTCTCAGAGGAGAACTGTGGATGCTCTTCTCAGGTGTGTGTATGTGTGTGTGTGCGTGTGTGTGCAGTGTGTGTGTGCTGCAGTTTGTACATGTATGTTGGCTTGTGTTATAGGTGCAGTGCATGACATGACCTCTCAACCTGGATACTACGGACGCCTGCTGGAGGAGTGCATGGGCAGCAGCTCACTCGCATGTGATGAGATTGAGAGAGATCTGCATCGCTCTCTCCCAGAACACCCAGCATTCCAGAGTGACACAGGAATCTCGGCACTTCGCCGTGTCCTGACTGCCTATGCTCACCGCAACCCCAAAATCGGCTACTGCCAGGTATACACACACGTGATGCTTTCATTTAGTCTTCACACATGCTCTCCGCATCAGATGGTACAGTTCACAGGATATCTGATGCTTCTTGTGCACAAATCTTTTTTAAAAGCTTTCTCAAAGCCATCAAGTTGCACTCTGATTGATTGACTACACAATCTCAGAGAGTAATACAAGTTTGTAATGGTCTAGTGTTTTAATGGCATAGAATTTTTTTTTAACATTTACTTAGCAAATGTTTAAATGTCAGTTAGATGATCGTGTCGTGTCTAAGTGACCGGTTGTAGCTTCAAAGGAGAGCAGACTTTATGATTTGTATGTCTGTGTTCAACATCCTTCTTTTGCACAGCAATAGAGCATTGTCTGCCAGACTATCACACACACAATTATTCATTTATTTATATAATTATTCATTATCCATGCACATAAACATCAGCACAAAAATGTTTTTTACTGCACATTGCACCAATATTTGATATTAAATCAGAAATACAAAACAAGAGAAAAATGAGAAACAGCTAAATCTATGGTAATAAAGAACATAACATGAACTCTGGAGCCTCATATAAACATTGTTGTGTGCAAAACAGGAATGACATGGAATATAAATGTTTTGTTAATCCAACACTTTGTCTATGCAAAGTATAATCATGGAAAATATGCAAAGTGAAGTCTATGCATTTGAAAGATATTGTGACTGTTTTTTATTTGTAAGAAGTCAGATTATTAAAATATTTCATTTATATTTATTTATTTTAAATTTGTCTATATACAACGACATCACAAACTCTTAAAGGGACTGTTCACTACTTGAAATGAAATTCTGTCATTACACACCCTCATGTCATTCCAAACTCCCATTTATGTTTTTATTCTCTTTATTCACGGAAAGTCTCATTCTATCAATGATTTGAATTCCAGATATTATTTATAACATCATTTAGCTTTAGAAGATGTATATATTCTCACTCATTGTTTATATGTCGGTCTGTCCAGGCGATGAATATCCTGACGTCGGTGTTGTTGCTGTATGCTAAAGAGGAAGAGGCCTTCTGGCTGCTGGTTGCTGTGTGTGAACGAATGCTCCCAGACTACTTCAATCGCAGAATTATTGGTATGTGTGTGAGAGCTGGTTATACACATCTCATACCCAGAATGTCATTGAATCATCTTGAGGTGTCGTAATTACTTGCCCTCACAACTGAAGTGAATTATTATTACTGAGCTTTGTTAAGGTGTGCTCTACAATTATCAAATGTTTATTTTTGCTTACAGTGTTATTCAAGTCTCCGCGTGTATGTTTTCCAGGTGCCTTGGTGGACCAAGCCGTGTTCGAGGAACTGATCCGTGAGCATCTAACCCAGCTGACCGAACACATGACAGACCTGTCGTTCTTCTCCTCAGTGTCGTTGTCATGGTTCCTGACTCTCTTTATCAGTGTACTGCCAATTGAGAGTGCTGTGAATGTTGTTGATTGCTTCTTTTATGATGGAATCAAAGCCATTCTGCAGCTTGGCCTTGCTGTGCTCGACTACAATATGGACAATCTGCTTTGTTGCCATGACGACGCAGAAGCTGTCACGGTCCTCAACAGGTGATTGGAACATTGTCATTTTATAATAGCCAACCATGTGGGTAGCAAGCTGGATTGATCCTTCTATCAGTTCCTTTTATTTGTGTGGCCTTGTCTGCCTCTTATGAGCAACATAAGAGGTGAGCATTTTATAGTTGAGTTTGACCACTGTGAAAATCACAAAAATCAATCTGCATGTATGTTTATTATTACCACCACTACTACTACATGGCTCTTTTGTCCATGCTGTGTAATGCTACAGAGTGTCTTTGGATGACAAGCTGCTGTTTAATTGTAAACAGCATCTTTGGTTTTTGCAGTGTATTTTTATATTTACAAACTCGATCTGTCTTCATATTTGATTTTATCCTTCAGGTTTTTTGACAATGTCACAAATAAAGACAGTCCTCTACCAGCTACCGTGCAGCAGGCATCTGCAACAACCAACGACAAATCAATACAAAAGGTTGACATCTGTGATCTCATCAAAGAGGCGTACGAGGTAAATCTGCACACTTTAATACACTGTAGTGAACATTAAAATCTGTCTGTAAAAAGAAAAAAACATGTTAGGGATGTCTCATTTGTAAATCACTTTGGATAAAAGCGTCTGCTAAATGATTAAATGTAATGTCTTTGTTAATAATTCTTTGACAATTAACACCTGTACTCAGGTTGACAGATTAAGTTTTGTGTAAATTTTGTGTTGACGGAATGAGGGAAACCCCCCTCTGACAGGCCTGAAACAGACTGAATAATGAGGCGTCTTTGTTTCAGAAATATGGAGACATTCGAACAGAGGAAGTGGAAAACATGCGAAAGAAGAACAAGCTTTGTGTCATTCAGACATTAGAGGACACAACAAAACAAAATGTAGTAAGTACAAATTTGTGTGAACCTTATTCCTTTACAGTCCTTATGTCATATAATATATTATAATATAATATATTATATAATATATAAATCTTTAGAATTTAGAAAAATTTAACAAAGAAACAAAAATGCATTATAAAACTACATTCATTACTTTCATGGCAAATTTGGTTTTGATCAGTAAGATTTGATGAATCTATTTAGCAAGGATGCATTCAATTGATCAAAAGAGACAGTAAATACATTTATAATGTTAAAAATGTTTCAAATAAGTGCTCTTACTGTTCTTTGATTTGTGTTCTGTGATTTGTGAGGTATCATGTGACACTGAAGACTGGAGTAATGGCTCTCGACAATTCAGCTTTGACATGACAGGAATAAATGACATTTTAAGATATATAAAAATAGAAAACAATTATTTTAAATTGTAATGATATTTCTCAGTATTGCTGTATTGTATTTTTGATCAAATAAATGCAGCCTTAGTGAGCATAAGAGGCTTTTTTCAAAAACATTGAAAGACTTTGGAATGTGATGTAATCTGCATAATTTCTTCTTTACACATTGTTTGCACATACAGTGGCAGTAAAGTTTATTGTCCCTGGTAAATTGTTTAATAGTCCGTCTTTTTTTTTTTTTTCATATTACTGCAGTTGCGTGTTGTTGCTCAAGGTGTGAAGTTCAGTGCTGCTCAGCTGGATGAGCTCTACTTGCTTTTTAAGGTGAGTTACACTGTACAAACTGGTGCTTTTCAGTACATAAAGGCCTCAAAATACGGCCGTTGCCACATGAACTGTGTGTGCTTGTGTGTCTTTTAAATTTCTTTTGTTGAGTATGTGTGAGTGTGGGCATATGGATATATTGTGTCTATG